TAGACTTTTGATGTGTTAAATGGTATTTTGATTTTGTGATGATTATTGGTTTCAAACATTTCTATTAGCTTTTAATGTATATTTCTTATATGTTTAAAGAGTATGTTGGTCTATGAATATTTTTCAATTCAGTACAGCGCCAATGAACATTTTTAATGGATATTGTTTTGCGCTTTATTAAATGGAGTTATTATTATTATTATTATTATTATTATTATTATTATTATTATTATATATTGCTTGCAAGAATTGGAAACGCTACCGTTACTATTGGCAAACGGCTTGGCCGCTTTCAATAAATTTTGGTCTATAGAACCGGTGACACCATCCATATAATGGGTGTTCATATCTTGGGGTCGAAATTACAGAAGATAAATTTGAGTTATATAGAAAAACATATGTACTTCGTATTATATACATTAGTTTATATATATTTACATTTAGTTCTAAGTGACATACAGAAAATCAAATCCAAGCTTGTGCAGTAAAGTGTCAAAGCAGATGGTTGGCATTATTCAAGTTAGATTGATAATCGAATTCGTTTATATTGATCAATATCTTCCATTGAAACTCCAACTCCTTGGAATATGGACGTCAGATTCTTCCATTCAACATCAAACTCCTTTGTTGACATCCTTGGACTCGCTGTGTGGGCAAACTTTGTATTTCTAAATTGCTGGATACGAACAAAATTTGTAAGTTCGCTGTCAAGCGTTTCATCTGGTTGTGACCAAAACGAATCTGGAAGTGGATTGCCGCAGTGGCAGAAGCGAATGATTTTGATCATGATTGAAATATCAAAGTCATTAATGTCTGCATTTGGTGTAAACATTTTGTTCTTCTGGTCTCTAAACAACCTTGCTTCTTTTGTAAATCTACTTTTCATACTCATCAGAAACTGCCCAACATCTCCCTCTTTCAGATTGTGAACTCGTAGAAAGTACTTCCTCATCACATCCGTACCGAGGCCAACAACAAGTAACATGATCGTTTGGAAGTTCTGTATTTCTTGAATGGCAGTCTTATCAAAGCCTATTGAATAGAATAGAGGAAAGTTAAAAGAGAACAATAAGAGAACCTTATATGACACGAATTTTATTCATTTAATATTTACCTTCTCTAAGGCGAATGTCTTCGATGTCGTTGGAGGGAACACCAAGATCCAAGAGAATTTCTTTTACTTCTTTCCACTCCTCATCAAAATCTTTGGCTGGTATTTTACAACTTGTATTCCGATCTAATTTAGTGTTTTTATACTGTTGGATGCGGATAAGATTTGCAAGTTCGGGATTATCTATTTTATCCGGTTGTTCCCAGTCGTCATCGGGATACGTGACTCTACAACAGTAACGAATCAATGTCATCAGGATTTCAATGTCAAAAGTATTGATGTCTGCATCTGATGAGAACACCTTATCTTGACCTTGGAAATACGCCATACTTGCAAAGCTTCCGTTTTCTTTCTCCTTCTTCAAGAATTTGACAACAGATGAGGAGTTCGTTTGATGTGTTGTTTTTAAGAAGAATTCCTTCATCTTCCTCGTTCCAAGTTCAATAATCAATGACTGAACGGCCTGAAAATTCTTGATCTCTTCGACAAATTCTGGTTTTAATAGAAAGTAAATGTAATAATTATATTAAAGATAATTGCATTAGAATTATTATCGTCATTTCACCATGATTCTTATTTCATTTACATCAAATTACGCATTGGTTTTCTCCATTACCTTTCCATTTTAAGAAGTTACTAATGAAGTTGTTACATGTTATAGACCAAACAAAACAATGAATCACAATAAAATGTATACGCAGAGCAGTTGTTAAATGTATATTATGGTACACGGTCAATTAGAGAATGTTTAGCCGCCGGTACTATGTCCAAAGTGGACATAATATTCCAGGAAATCATCTATGACCCGTGAGTTTACTTTGTTTACTATGAAAAAATATATATACTCTAGGATATGACACATATACAACGGCCTATTAAAAAAAACCTCAACACACATTTCTTCACTAACCTATTGAAAAAAGTCTTTTGAAACGAAAATTCTGCATTGACATCTTTCCACAAGAAACCTTATCTTTTTTCAGACAATCCTCAAGATCATGCAGATGAGGTTGCTGTGTTGGTTGACATACGCTGCACAAGACGCGTAACTTGTAGCCAATCCCTTCTGTTGTACCATACACAGTCTTCAGTTGATGCTTCAGGTAGTTTAATACCTAAATAACAAAATATTATTCTTTTTAAATCATTTCGTATTTTCAATTGTTTTGTTCCAATTAGTTGCACGTAAATTCTACTTTTCTTTCTATGAGTTCATATTATAGTCTACAGTAAGATAAAATAGTTATTAGGTTCTGCAAAACATCAATGTTAGTGGTTTTTCTGATGCAAAACACCTTCAAAATGTTACTGTAAGTATTATTAGTATTAATTTCAAAATATTAGAAGATGTACTATGATTGTTGGACAGTATTCTAACAGTTAGACATGTTCTATTTTCTCTATGCTTATATTGTGTACCGAAATGGCACAATATAACGAATTTTAGGCGAGCAAGATTCAAGTCAAACATTTAGCTGTTGTGTTTACCTCCATGCATACACTCGGGTGTGGTTCTGATATTACTTGTTTATCATTTGCATCTACTACAATCCGATGCGTTATTTCAAGCTGTAGGAAAAAGATGACTTATCGTATAATTTGTAAT